TGACCTCCTGGTTAACATTTAAGTTGAGAAAGCACCAAGAGATCTATTAAGTCAGACCAGATGTCTGGAGAGTTTTTGAATCTTCTTAATATTGATGCCAGCATGATTTCCCAAAGATGGGTTCAGACCTGTTCGCCTTGAGTGGTTCTGGCTACATAGATTAAAATGAGGTAAACTCATTATAGCTTTAGTGTGGCTGGCTTTGAAAGATTTGAAAAATGTTCTTTTATTGAGACTGAATAGCTGGATGTGCTTTTGCTGCCAATATCAACACAGTCCCAGGGCCCTCCTGTTATTTTCTGCTAGAGTTTTCTTAGGACATGGAATGGGGCGGGGGTGGGGGTGTGAAAAGCCTCAGAGGATTGTGTTTTGCTTTGCTTTCTTTCTTTTTCTGTTCTTGGCTCATACAGCAAGTTGGTGGTAAATATTGGGCAATTTATTTAACCACACTATTCCTCAATTTCCTTATTAGCAATGCTGTCTTGTTTATAAAGAGTTTTGAAATTTTTGCAAGCATACAAAACACTGGTGAAAATATCCAATACAGATATCTTATTTCTGAGCCACTTGATGCCTCTCCAGTAGTGGGGACTACCTGCATCAGACTCACTTGGAGTGCTTGTTAAAATGCAGATCCCAGGTCCCAGACCTTCTGAATTAAAATCTCACCGGGTAAGACCAAAAATCTCCATTGTAAATAAGCTCCTGGGGTGATTCTGAGGCACTTCAAATATTCCTTTGAGTACCTCTGCATTCTGTTAAGTCTGAGATTGAACTAGATGGTTTGATCACTTGAAAATCCCCTGGTATCTCCCAGGATTTTCTGGACTGACTCAAACTTGGCCGTTTTCCCCCAAAGCTACTATATATTCTAATTGAGGCACTCATTTAAAAAATATCTGAAGCTTTATTTTGCCAATCCCAGTCCTCAAAATGTATGTAATCTCTAGTAGGATGTTGAGGTCTAGCAGTTCCCAGTCAGGGGTAAGATTAACACACAGGCTCTAAAAGTAAAAGAATTGTTCCAGTGAGCTTTTGTCTCCCTGCTTTCAGTTTACCGTTGGACTTCCCCAGGGAGACTCAAGGTTGAGGTCCTGTTCTTGATTTGGCCATTGACTCAGCTTTGACCTTGGAAAAACCATTTAATCTTTCTGCACAGTTTCTCCCTCTACAATATATGCTTTCTCAATCCTAATGAAATATTTTCCAGAGGAGCTGTTTAGTTTATTCAGGAAGAAAGTTGTATTATGGTAACCATATGTTATGCAACCATATGTAAGGCAGTGATAGCCCTAGATTATGGATCAGTAATGATGATTATGTCTTATGACTGAAGAGTAGCAAAAAGGTTGTCCAGTTCTTCCCTTTGTGTTGATAACTGAAAAGAGTACTCAGGCTTGTGGATTTACGGGATAAGGTACAATAGTATCTGCTATCTGCAAAGATACTACAGAATCTGCAGGGAAGCATGCAAACTTCCTGTTTCTCTACTCAGCACTCAGGAAGAATGAAAGGACTGCTGCCTACTCCCAGCTTTGTTTCACCACCTGCCCTTGACAGATGATTCTGCTGTGTCATACCTAATGTCACATTTGCTACCTTTTCTTGGACTGTTTCACTATCTTGAGACCTGTTACTAGTTTTCTATTGCTGCAAAACAAATTACCACAAATTTAGCAGCTTAAAACAACACATATTTATTATCTTACTGTTTCCATTGGGAAGCTTAGCTCCAGGCACAGTTTAGCTAGGTCTTCTGCTCATTGTCTCACAAGGCTGAAATCAAGGTTTTGGCTGGGCTGCATTCTCATCTGGAGGGTCAACCAGGGAAGGATCTGCTTCCAAGCTCCCTTAGGTTGTTGGCAGAATTCATGCCTTGCAGTTGTAGAATTTATGATAGTTTGTTTCTTCAAACCCAGCCATGGTGAGAGTCTCCCTTTATTTTGTATCATTTATATGAATCAATAAGAAATCTGAAGGTTTTAAAAGATGAGTGGACTTAACACTCATTAGGATGGCCATTATTAAACAACAACAACAAAAAATAAGTGTTGGCAAGGATGTGGAGAAATTGGAACACTTGTGCACTGTTGGTAGGAATGTAAAATGTTACAGTCACTATGAAAAATAATACAGTTCTTCCCTTAAAATATTAAAAATAGAATTACCATATGGCCTAGCAATTCCACTTCTGGGTATCTCCCCAGAATAATTAGAAACAGGGACTTAAACAGATTGTACACCTATGTTCATAGCAGCATTATTCACAGTAGCCAAAATGTGGAAACAACTCCTCTTCATCAGTGGATGAATGGATAAACAATGTGGTATATACATGCAGTGGAATATTATTCAACCTTAAAATAGAAAGAAATTCTGAACCATGCTACAGCATGAATCTTAAAAACCCTATGCTAAGTGAAATAAGCCAGTCACAAAGGACAAATATTTTGAGATTTCACTTCTATGAGGTACCTAGAGTAGTCAAATTCATAGTGACAGAAAGTATAATGGTGGTTTCCAGAGGCAAGGGAGAAGGGGAAATGGGAGTTACTATTCAATGGGAATGGAGTTTCAGTTTTGTGAGATGAAAAAGTTCTGGAGATGAACAGTAGTGATGGTTGCAGAATAATGTACATGTGTTTAATGCCACAGAACTGTGCACTTAAAAATGGTTTAAATGATAAATTTTATGTTATGTGTATTTTACCACAATAAAAATATTAAAAAGGAAAGATAAACAGGCAAGGGAGATGAACTTGTAAATCACAGAACAGGCAATGTCACAAATAAGAGCAGACTTGAGGAAATATGCTCAATCTTGTTGGTAACCAAAGAAATGAAAATTAAAAATGATAATGGGCTTCCATCTTTGAGTCTAATGAGTTAATGAATGTTATATGTCTAACACACAAAGTCTAGCATATAATTATATTCAAAACAAACTTCATTTCTCTGCTTCTTCCTCTCTCCTTCTAGAACAGAGATAGAATCTTCATTTAATATTTTTATTCCAGTGTTTCATACAAGATGGATTTTAAACCATTCCTGGGACTCAATTTTAATATGCTAGTTGAATTTTTTGAAAATTAAAACCTTTTCCTTGAGGCTCAAGTTTGGATTCCAGTATAAGGAGGTGCAAGAAGAATTATATTAAATGCAGTTCTGGAATGTTTATTGTATCAAAAAACAGTGTCTGCCTGAAAAGATTAGTTAAATGATTTCCACCCAATGTATCCTAGAATTTATAGTAACAGAAGTGGTAAGTTCTGAGTGAATACTATCTCTGTGTTATAAAAATGGTACAGGCTGATCATCCCTAATTCAAAAATCCTAGATACAAAACGTTCCAAAGTCTTTTGAATGCAAACATGATGCCACCAGTGGAAAATTTTGTGTGACAGAGTCACAGTCAAAGTGCAGTCAAAACTTTGTTTCATGCACAAAATTATTTTAAAAATTGCATAAAATTACCTTCAGGCTACATGTATAAGGTGTATATGAAACAAATTAAGTATGTGTTTAGACTTGGGTCCCATCTCCAATATATGTCGTTACATATATGAAAATATCCCCCAAATTTGAAAAAACCCAAAATCTGAAACATTTCTGGTCCCAAAGCATTTAAGGGATCCTCAATATAACATATCCTCTCCATGTTCCTGTTTCTAATAAGCCATGTAGCCACATACCTGACTTATCTCTTTACTATCTCTTAGTTTTCATGGGCCATTATTACTTTTGGCAATTTACTGATGGCATTTAGAGTAAATCTTTTTGATGATAATGATATATAGAGCTAATAGTACATCTATTATTAATTGATCAAACACTATGAGCCAGGTGTTCTGTTAAGCATGTTTCTATTATTTCATTTAATTTTCACATCATTCTGAGACAAATTATATTATTCCCCTTTTACAGGTAAGAAAATAGAGACTCCGCATTTTAATAACTCTCACTCCAAATGGTCACTACTCCTGGTTGGTAGAGCTGGAATTCAAACCCAAGTCTGTCCAACTCCAAGCCTCTGATCTTCCCTCTATGCTATACTGCATCTAGTAATATTAATTACATTTATTTAATAAGGAAAAAGTGATTTATAGGAATAAAATTTAAACATGTGACTTTGTAGAAATAGCTGCTAATAGTTATAGCTCCTACAATTTCATACTGATTCAGAAGAATTTTTTAAGTCAAAGTTATTTAGGTCCTGTAAACAGGCTGTTGTACATTCAGAGTAAAATGCCTCCTATTCCGTGTCAAAAGTGCAGATTTGCTTCCTGATAAGATGTACTATTTGGATACTGTCTATTTTTTATTGTGATTCAGGTGCACATAACAGGAAAACATTTTTTTTCCTATCTTGGCAAAAGGAGAGGTCTTTCTAAAAATGAATACTTAATGTAATGATTTCAATGGTGCTTTATTGCATTGTGAATGGGGAGAAAACAGATTATAGCACAGGATTCAAAGAAGTAACAATGGTCTACTGACTTAGACAGAAAAGTACAACCAGGAAATTTCTCAAGACTCTAAGCCATGAGGCAGGGCTTCAGAGACACTGGGTGTTCTTCCCTGCCCAAGAAAATGAAAAAATGCAAAACTACAGATTATCTGAGAGACATACAGGCAAATTCTAGCTCTGAAAATGAACTACTTTGCAAGGCCTTATAGCCATGTCTTAAAAAAAATCTAAACCGAAAGAGAAACAAAAAACCACAATTGTATTTGTAATTCTTAGACAACTCAACAAACTAATTTATATGTAACATAGCTTTTAAGTGGTTGTGAAAATGTTTTTTAAATATATTCTTTCCCTTAGAGCAATTCAGTTCTGAATTTTTAAAGTTAAAATGTTTTCAAAGGTTTTCTAAGAGTAATATGAAAATTGGTAACAAATAAATTTGAATATGAAAGACATACACACACACACATATATTCTCATTCTCATTTCACTTGACCTGTCCTAAACTATGTGTTTCTTTTTTTATTTGCAGAGCTCATACTTGTTTTAACCGTCTGGATCTGCCCCCGTACCCATCCTTTTCCATGCTTTATGAAAAACTCTTGACAGCAGTTGAAGAGACCAGTACCTTTGGACTTGAATGAACTGGAAGCACAATGCCCAGCTCTTTGTGGACAGGCAATTTCAGACGCTGCCTTCTAGAAGAATGAACACTGGAAGTTTCAAGAGTTTGCTTCCTTTAGGGTAATGCTGAGTGCTGTTATTTTCCAGGAACACGTGCTTTGTCACATTTGGGGACTGGTGATGAGTCCTCTTGGAAGGATTGGGTGAGCTTGATGCCCAGGGAACAACCCAATAGTCTTTCAATCAACAGTTCTTGACTGCCAAACTTTTTCCATTTGTTATGTTCCAAGACAGAGATGAATCTGTATCTGGTCAGCTCCATGGTAATTTCTAGGGACTCAGGAGAATCTTGAAACTTACTCTTGAATGTGGTTCAAGCCAAACTGGCAGCACTTGGCCCAATCTCCAAATTAGTGCAAGTTAAATAATATAATAAAAACAAATATATTTCCTGAAAGTATATTCATTTAAGCCCTAAGTTATAACAGAATATTCATTTCTTGCTTATGAGTGCCTGCATGGTGTGCACCATAGGTTTCAGCTTTCATGGGACGTGAGTGAAAATGAAACCAAGTCAATATGAGGTAACTTTAAAGATTTGCAATAAGGTGGTCTGTGACAATGTATATGCAAGTGGTATGTGTGTAATTATGGCTGAAGACAAACCGTTATTCAATGAATTACTAATGACAGATTTTATGCTTTATAATGCATGAAAACAATTTTAAAATAACTAGCAATTAATCACAGCATATCAGGAAAAAGTACACAGTGAGTTCTGTTTATTTTTTATAGGTTCATTATATTTATGTTCCTTAAGATGTATATAAGAACCTACCTATCATACTGTATGTATCACCTGTTCCATTGTCATGTTCCATGCTAACTCGGGCATCATGCTAATATGCATCCATTTAAGCACTCTCAAGGGAACAAAAGGGCCTTTTATTTTTATAAAGGTTAAAAAAAATCCCCAAAATATTTTGCACTGAATGTACCAAAGTTGAAGGGACATTACAATATGACTAACAGCAACTCCATCACTTGACAAGTATAATAGAAAATAGCTTCTAAATCAGACTTCCTTCACAGTGCCATGTCTACCACTACAAGGACTGTGCATCTGAGTAATAATTTTATAAGAGTCACTATATGTGATAGTATGATATGCATTTATTTAAAATGCATTAGACTCTGTTCCATCCATCAAATACTTTATAGGATGGCATTTAATACAGATATTTCGTATTTCCCCCACTGCTTTTTATTTGTACAGCATCGTTAAACACTAAGCTCAGTTAAGGAGCCATCAGTAACACTGAAAAGATCAGCTCTCTTTAGTAATAAGAATTCCATTTTCTCTCATCAATGAAGACATCACAAATTGAAACTCTCAGTACTATATTTCTAAACCTACATTTTCACTGATGTATAATTTTCTTATTAAGAAACAGTTTTTCTATGGTAACTCCAAAACTGCATGACATCATTCATCTTATTTCTGCTTAATTTTTATGAGAGGGTGTCCTTCATCTTAATTGCTTTTGGGATTACTCCACGTCATTGTTTATTCCTTGACTTATGGCCATAAATAATCAGACGTTCAACAGAGTGAAGTTAAATTGAAGATGATAAAAGCATTGGATTAACATTTGGTTTGCCAGCCTATGGGTTTACAGGCATTCCCCAAATATTTCTTTGAGACTTATATTTATAAGCAGCCATGGAATTCCTATTATGGGATGTTGGCAATCTTGTATTTTATAGAGGTCATATGCATAGTTTTCATAGGTGTTTCATGAGAACTGATTGCCCTCCTGTTGGTTAAACTGTGTTTACTATTGGAAGCCTCAAGAGGAATACCACTCATGTTGCATTCCTACACTAAAGGCAGGTACTGCAATGTGGGGAAATGTTCTGAAAAAAGGTTATATTAAAAAATATATAATAGAAATCTGGATACAAGAAAGGAAGATTTATCTGTATACTATAATTGGACCAGAAAAAAAGGGAAAAAGAAAAAAATTTAACTGGAAATGTCAGTTTGTACTTATTGATCATGAATACAAGTATATATTTAATTTTGCAAACTGTTTTCACTTGTTTGTATTTTTTCATTATAAGGAAAAGTAATAACACTTTTTTTAAAAAAATCACATTTTTGATGGTATATGAGATGTTTCAAAGCTGGCATTCTCTAAGCAGCAGATATAGAAGGTTGCATTTCTTTCAAAAATACATTCATAGATCATGTTTGCTTTCATTTTGGTTTGATATACTTTGTTACCATATTCCATATTATTAGGTAAAAAAGATTTGAAATAAAATGTATCTCTTTAATTATTCCTAACAAATACATTTCTTTGTTAAGGCATCCAACTTCTTCCCAAATAACAGTTCACTTTAATATATGCAGACATTCTTACTTACTATAATTGTCTAGTTGATACTGTTCTCAGAATTGGGAATTATCAAAGATATACTTAGCATTATCAGAACACTATGATAACCTATTATTCTTTATTACTAAAATAAAAAACAGTCAATGCTAACTATATAAAATATTAAATAACATTTCCACAGAATAAATTAGACTTTAATATACTCTACAATTAGAAATTTACATAAATATTTTCTTCTGCACTATGAACCCAAATAACTAGGATTTATGGCCTTATTTTTTTTTTAAGAAATTTGTTAAGTGATGCTCCTTATACTATAAAAGACAGCCACAATACATCATATATGTATGCAGAACATCTCTTAGATGAGAGAACAGGCACTGTATTGGCACTCACTCTGTGCTAGTCACTGTATTTGACGATGGAGCTACAAGATTCTAAATCTGCCCTTGAGAAGACGACAGTCTAGTAGAATAGAGACGAAGGTTTAAAAAAGCATTTTTAATAAAATTTGGCAAGTTATACAATCAAGGAATGAAGAGAGAACAGCTTATTTTATCTGGGGGATTCAATGATGACTTCATATATGAGAGATAGTGTAGCTGGAAAAAAAATCACGTAAGTGCTGTTTGTGTTGGTAACTAATGGCGTATAATAGTGCATCAATACTGGTCAAATGTTGAAGCCCAGGAGGGTTTAAAGTGTGCAGGTGGGAAGCTGAACTGTGAAGGAGCAACTCAAGGGTCTTCAAATTAGCAAGGAAATGCCAGAATTAAGTCTGGTAGTTTCCCTCTGTTTCCCTTCATCTGTACCAAGTGTATCTTTGGTTTTCAGTGTGAAAAATTATAGTCCCTGAGCTCAAACAACTTCTGAGGTCAAAACTTTTTTCTCGTGCACAAATTGAATGGATCATGGTCCAAGAAGTATGATCACAATTTTCTAGCATATGTTGTGTAATATTTATAATTTAGTAGAGATTCTATAATAAATAAAGGAAAATCCGTTTCACCTGCATAAAAATCAGAAATGGTAAAAATGCATTCAAATGAATGACAGTAATGGTAGAATATGTTTGCACAGTGCTTTAGAGTTTAAAAGTGCTTTCAGGTACAGCATCTGTTTTGATCCTCACTTACTTTGTGAGGTGCAAGTGTCAAGTCCCATCTGGGTTGAGGCTGATTTTCATGGAGGGTGTGTGGGATCAGTTTCAGTACTCTATAGGCACAATTCTGTGTTTCATCTTGAGAAATGTGGATACTAATGTTTGTACCAGTATATTCCATTTTCAGTGACTTTTGCAGGATGCTTCATCTACCGAAACTCTCTTTCTTAAACAAACACACTTAAAATATAACACCTGAAAAATCCATGAAAAAATTAGTATATTCATGGAAAAAACTCCCCATAGACCTAATATATGCATTTTAATACTTGTCAGGAGAAATTGAAAACGGGGCAAAATTTGGTTGCTTTTGATGGATTTATATAGTATAGTTTTCTCAAATATTTGGAAGTAAGATGATGGAAAAAGCAATAATCAGAAGCCTTATTTTATTTCTTAATTTTTAATAATGATGGATCCAGTAAACCCTGATAGCTGAGTTCCAGTGATATCCATGAAGGAACCACTGCAGGTTCTTCCTCCCTGTCTTCCTCACATTCATCCAAATGATTTTTTAATATCTTTCTGCACAAATTTTATTTATGACTTGACCACTTGTGTCACTCTCGTATTGAAGAGTCTGGGAGTCTGTTCAAGTCAACCTTATTCAGAGTAAGGTGAAATGATGCTATGTCATCATTAAAAGGTATCTGCAACCCTGCATAATAAAAACATGCATAGGAAGAATGTGGTCTGATTTCCAAACTGAGTCTGCGCTTCAGGGCCTCGTGCTCCATTTTATTGGCTGATTTCATTGATGAAGGACAACACTCTAGATCTTAGCCATCTTACTCCCATGAGACTTGAGTTCAAATTAATAAGAATGTCACTTTTAGATTCTAATTTTGCAAAATTTATTTCCTTTCTAGTTCAGTTGTGTTTTCCAGGTAAATTTGTTTCTCTAGCTTGGAAGCAAAGGGATACCAGAGTCAATAAAGCTATCTGAACTGTGGCTTAAGGCCAACTGCTGCCCACTGAAAGGGTGATAAAAATAAAAAGTAGAAAAGAGGAGCCCAGCAGCTGTGCCCCCCCCAAGAATGTAATGCTAATTATTGACCAACTGTCAAGATTCGGCATGGCAACTGCATTCCAAGCAGCTGGCACAAAGGATACCATGAGTGTGTGCTGCCCGTGTCATAGCAGTGTGGGCCAGAAGGAGCAAAATGATGGTTAAGACAGGAGTGTAGCAGAGGGAAAGCGAGAACAAGGGTGGAAGGATCATCTTAGGGCATGGTGGGGATAGAAACATCTTTCAGTTTGGTTTCTGACTGAGAAGAATGCTGTGTAGCCTAACAAAGGCACTGTTTGATAATCTACTAGGTGGGAAACGCCCTCATTTTATAACTTCACTAGGTTAACATTTTCTGTGTTGCAAAAGGGAATTTAGCCTCAGAGTATTAAAGCTAACCATAGCTTAATCAGAAGATTCAACAATTTAGCATTAAATTATGTTGTGAATTTTTTAACATAAGTATTAGCATTACTATCATTGAACACAATGTATGAAATAAAAGAAAGGGTGCTTTTATTTCATTATGCTTAATTTGGTTTTGAGCATTCTTTGACATTAGAATAGCTTTTGAGACATTTTCATGGTTTCTAATAACTTAAATGTTCTCTGTTAATCTAGAAGGGAAAACCTTAAAAGTGAGGGTTGCAATGGAGACCGAATCAGTGTTTCCAATTTAGGAAGTTAGTCAAGACAGAAAATACATTTGCTTAAATTTTATCTGCAAGGTAGCTGATTTGGTTTTCGTGATCGAACAGCTCAGCAGAATAGGACAGCCCTAGTTGTGTGGTTTCTGGGGAACACAAGAGAATCAAATTTATATATGTTATTTTTATGTCTAGTGGCCTTGGGCAGGTGATATCTTTCTATCCAACTTGTGAGATATTACAACCCTGAGGAGTGTGGATAGGCATGTTGTATGATTCAAACTGAATCTGCTATTATTGATGCAGGTAAGGAACCATCAGTAAACAAACTTCTGGTTACTATCACCTTCTATAAAAAAAGAAAGAAAGAAAAGGATAATGTTCAAGAAGTACCTTGGGAAGGATTAACCAGGAATTAACACGGAACTGAATGTTCTTTTTGGACCCTAATGCTCTAAAAGATGTAATTACAACCTATTTTTCTTTATATAATAGCATAAATAAAATTTGGGGCTGTTAATATGTTGGAAAGTGCTTAAGATTACATGTTTTTATAATAGGGATGCAGGCATTCCAAAATAAATGAATAAAAATACATGCATCTCTCTCGTCTCTTACTGGAAGTATTAATCTAATTTTATAATAATGCTCACTTTTTAATATTCAGGCTCTGTAAAAAAAATATTTATTTCTAAGATTTCAGTAGAGTACAGGTGGTGTATTTTTTTAAGCCTTTTCATTTCTCTTCACCAACCCCACTCATGTCCACTATATCATGTATCACAGTTAATGGTGATGTTTCCATTTTTGAGTTGATTTAAGCCTCATATTTATGTGGCTTTTAATGGAGAATAATAATGGGGGGGGACACTTGTTACTAGCATCAATATTATACAGCTCTCATTTCACCTTACATTTAAATTTCTTTTTTTTTCCCAAAGCAAATAATGCAGATCGTTGACATCTTAGAAATGGTTTGTGAGAGGTATTATATATAGAGCCTAAGACTCTCAACTGGGACTAGTCGTTTATTTTCTGAGAAGTCTGTATTCTTACCCTCACCCTCACCTGCACCCCTGACTCTTTTGTTGTATTTTTTATGATTCTGAAATGCTTTGAGGGAAAGATATTTTAATGTGTACAATTTGTTTTATTTTCATACTGATCTCTATTTTTGTTTAAAACCATGTTGCATCATGAAATCACTTAATCCAAAATAAATCTTCTTTAAAAAAATAGATTATGACTTTTCTGTCAAACTTGTGGGAAGCAAAATAGGAGGGAGGAGAACAGAAGTACACAGATAAGATCTCATGGGATTAATCTGTAGCTCTGTGAATGCAAGAGGCTCTCTTCATGGTATTAATAATAATTATTTTGTTTATTTTTATATCTTATTTTATATATTTTATTTATTTATTATTTGTTTATTTTATTTGGAATCTATTTTGTTCATCCCTACAAGAATATCTTACTATTTGATGGGCCATGAATGGTAAAGGGATGAATTGGCACAAATCATCTAACTCACATGGGTTGAGACTATTTGTTAAACCACCATGGTTGAATGCTTGCTTCATATACACACATACACACCACTACTACCACCACTACCACCCACACCAGTTGCCTCTGGGGGTCACATATTCACATGCCTACAGGGACCAGGTGGGTATTTAATGAGTGAATCTGACTGGATATAAACCTCAGAGACTGGTAGACTAACCTAAAGAGAGCATTCTAATATTTTGCTCCAGCAGATCCGAGCCACTTGAAATTGAAATCCAGTGTTGAAAGCTCTTCTGATTTATCAAGAGAAAACCAGAAATACACATTTTTGTATGATATTTCCAGATATTTTTAGTACTAAATGGATTAAACCAAACATGTCTACAGGTTGAATTTGCCTTGCAGGTAACCAGTTTGGAACCCTGGATTTAATCAATAACATTATCTTTTATACTTGATTGACTGGTGGTGTAAAGTGACCAAATTAAAAAAATGTTTCTAAGACATGGCACTTAAGAGAAAAAGATGAGGAAAGGAGAATGGCAAATACATACTACAAGGGCAATCACTAAAGGATGTTCTTGAAAATGATCTCTGTTTACCACTATCTTTCTGAAAACTGACTCATGTTAATCATATGAGTTAAGATGATTCCTGTCAAGATTGCATGAAGCAGATGTGGCATTAAACTTTTTAGTCTCTATTTTAGATTAGAAATCAACTTCATATATCACATGAGAGCAGTTAATGCAGAAGATTCATCTATCACTGATTTAAATTTGACATTATTATATAGGAGAAAAGCAAGGTTCTGCATTCATGGCACCAACTTCCTGGTTTTTGTGGCATAACGTTTCCCCTATATCCTTTGTCCTCAATACACTTTTATTATGATAAATTTATAAATCTGAAACCTACTTAACTAGTAAATGTTTAATAATGAATAATAATTCCTACCATCTACCATCTCAGGAAGTCTTTCATGCTGTTTTTGACTTCATCCTTAGACCAGAAAGCCTTTAACCCCTTCATCAAGGAATGAAGATTTTCTCTTCATATTTTCCTCCTTTACTTGTTCTAAAATTACCCATTAATAACTTTTTTCCCTTCTAAATAGATACTTGACTATTATTTCATTTGTCAACCAAAGTAAGCTTTGGAATCACAGAATAAATTGAAATGAGACTATCTGATAAAGATATAATGTTTATATTGACACATGAGTTTTACACATTTTATTTGTCCAGTTATTTAAAAACCCTCATATAGATAGATCATTCCAAAAGGTGTTTAGTCACTGGTTCTTCATTTAGAAAGGAAAATCTAGCAATTTTTCAAAGCTTAAATTATTGGAACAATATCTGTTTCTTTGATAATTTATAATGATGTTATAAAATACCAACTCTTGTACACAAAATACTTGGATAGTGTAGCAATTCATTTGCAGGTTGATGTTCAGCTGGCATTGAAAAATGGACCCCAGGTCCAAATTCTTGAACCTTGTCATGACAGTGCCAACACATACCTGTCTCTGACTCTGTCCCCACACCCAAATTAAACTCCTGACTTCCCAGCTAAGTAAAGACTTACTTTTTATTACTACAAGGCTTATCCCAATTTCCAATGCCATCTCTTTAGAATTGGATTAAACCATATGAAGGACATCTTTTTCAGAATAAATAGAGTCAGGTTTAAAGAGACCAGATGGTTTAGACTGAATGTGTATGTCCACCCAAAATTCATATGTTTAAAAACTAATCCAGGCCTGGCGTGGTGGCTCACACCTATAATCCTAGCACTCTGGGAGGCTGAGGCAAGGCAGGCGGATCATTTGAGCTCTGGAGTTTAAGACCCCGTCTCAAAAAATTAGAAAGAAATTAGCTGGACAACTAAAACCATATATAGAAAAAATTAGCCAGGCATGGTGGCACATGCCTGTAGTCCCAGCTACTCAGGAGGCTGAGGCAGTAGGATTGCTTGAGCCCAGAAGTTTGAGGTTGCTGTGAGCTAGGCTGATGCCATGGCACTCTAGCCCAGGCAACAGAGTGAGACTCTCGTCTCAAAAAAAAACAAAACTAATCCCCAATGTGATAGTATTTAGAGGTGGGGGCCTTTGAAAGGCGATAAGGTCTTGTAGGTAGAACTCTCATGAATGGGATTAGTGCCCTTAGGAAAGAGACCTCAGTGATCTCCTTTGTCCGTTCTGCCATGTGAGCACAAAGTGAGAAGATAGCCATCTACAGACCAGGAAGCTGACCCTTACCAGACCCTGAATATTCCAGAGCCTTGATTTTGGACTTCCCAGCCTGTGGAACCATAAGAAATAAATTTCTGTTGTTATAAGCTATCCAGTCTCTGATGTTCTGTTACAGCAGTTCAAATGGACCAAGAGAGACCAAGAGGTTTCCAGTGCCTGTTTCTTCCAAAGCTGGTACTCACAGCTTGACCCCCCCCCCCCATATCTTACTTAAGGGAAAGGCAAGTTCCAGAAAGAGAAGCCAGCCTATAAAAAGAAGTAAGATAATGTATTTTATGATCCTTAAAGTCGCACTGGTTCAGATTGCCCACTCTAGGTCTCAGGACAGCAAAGCCCTGAATGGAGACAGTACAGGTCATTCTGATGGGCCCAGAAAAATGGGAAGGCCCCAAAATAAGATGGTCAGACTTGCTTAAGGTTGGGCAGCTCCCTTTACCTTCCGTGGCTTGGAAATCCAAAAGAAATCTCAAGTAATAAAATCTCAAAAGAGAAAATGTAAGTTTGGACTTCTGAGCTTGTCCTGTGCAGGACGCATTTCTCCTTTGGGAGGGAGACTGGGGAAGAGCTGTGCATTCTTCTTAGGGGCCAATTCTAGTCTTGAATGATTGACTTCCCAGAACAAACAAAACAAGCCATTTTTAACGTTGGCTAAAGAGCTATTCACCAATTAGTGCTAATTTACCAGAACTCCAGTTTCGATTAGAAAATTTTATCAGCATTTCTTAAATATTGCATCAAATTACCAATCATGATCGAGGACTCTTCAGATACAGAGATGTAGCTTGAAGCCAGCTCTACTGAAATTAAATTATTTGTATGTTTTATTTATTTTTAAGTAAATTTTTCACATATCAAACTTTGGTTTCAGTTTGCAAATAGGATATTTCCCCTTAGCTTTAATAACAACTGCCCCCTCCCCTCAAATATTAAAGATATCTGATGATCCAGGAAGATACCACTTTGATTTTGCCTGTTCCTTGGCTATCTGCTGTGTACCCTGGGATGTGTATACATTGGTTTGCAAAGCAATGCCTATATCATCAGAGTCTCTTCTCACATAATACTACCAATGATTTGGAGCTAAAATGTTTGGGTTGGTTTTCTCTCATCTGCAATTAGCCTGTCTGTTATATCACTCATAACAATGTTTAAGGAGGAATGAAGATAACAGGCTGTCTGAATCTCAGAACCAAGCAGGAATGCCAACGGTGTTGTGGTTGGAGTGTATGTGCATATCTTTTCTGCCCTGCCACACAGTTTAGGTGTGGCGACAGTTGTACAAGTACACATTAGTGAATGTTTCCTAGCTGACTTTGACCTGTCCTTAACTAAGGCCCTTAGTTAAGACAAAAAAAATCATATTTCGAAAATTAGCCCTCCTGCTTGAAGAAATGACTGATTCCAGGAAAAATACAAGATGAGCCTGGTGCATTTTGTGGTGCATGCTAGAAAGTATCAGATTATGACAAAACATATAAAATAAATAAGTCCACATTGATAAATAAATAATGAATAAATGAAGAAATAGATCTCCTGTACAGAAGGATTCCAAATAATTTATGTAGGTACTCCACCCTTAAATGTGGCTTCCCCTAGGGACTTCTTTCAAAAGAGTACAGTAAAGAAAAGGGGGGAAAGGGAAAAAAGTAACTTTACAGTGAAAAACCCTGGCAAATACCATCTTGGCCAGGTGATCAAGTTCAACATCAGTGGTTATAAATCATGTGGATAGTGTGTGTACCCTTGTACGATGTGATAAAAATGACATTTACCTCTGTGGTTCTTTTCCCCAAAACACTCAATCCCAATCTAGCAATGAGAAACATCTGACAAATTCCAATAGAGGGACAGTCTACAAAATACCTAACCAGTGCTTGTCAAAAACTGTCAAAGTCATCAAAACCAAGAAAAGTCTAAGAAATGGTCATAGAAGAGCTTAAGGAGACATGATGATCAAAAGTAATATGGTACCTGGATAGGATCCTAGAACAAAAAAAAGGGTGTTAGGTAAATACTAAGGAAATCTGAATAAAGTATGGACTTTAGTTAATAATATACCAATATCAATTTATTATTTATCACTAATACACCATACTAATGTAACATGTTAACAGGGGAAATCGGGTGGGAAGTATATGGAAACTATTTTCTCTAATTTTCTATAAGTCTAAAGCTATTCAAAAAATAAAATAGGCCGGGCGCTGTGGCTCACGCCTGTAATCCTAGCTCTTGGGAGGCCGAGGCAGGCGGATTGCTCAAGGTCAGGAGTTCAAAACCAGCCTGAGCAAGAGCGAGACCCCGTCTCTACTATAAATAGAAAGAAATTAATTGGCCAACTGATATATATATAAAAAAATTAGCCGGGCATGGTGGCGCATGCCTGTAGTCCCAGCTACCCGGGAGGCTGAGGCAGAAGGATCACTGGAGCCCAGGAGTTTGAGGTTGCTGTGAGCTAGGCTGACGCCACGGC